CTTGAAATTGAAAGGGGGGTTACTAAAAAGTTAGGTGAGATTTTTAGTTTAATTTCAACGAGAAAAATGTATAAATTCAGTTTCATGTTATCGTTCTATTAAAATCCTACTAAAATACTCTTAAAACCGTAAAACTTACCGTGAAATGTATTCTATTTAAAAAAAAAAAAAAAGACTAAACTCCAACAGACCAAACCAAAAAAAAAATAATTTTCATATAGTTATGGTTGATCACAGATAATTAATTTATAATCTTGTAAATAAACAGTTAAATAAATAAATAATATTTAACATTTTTGTTGTCAGATCTCGAAAAAAAATGTATTAATTCAGGTTATATATTACAGCTTTATTAAAATTTGAATTTCATAGCTTTCTAAAACCAAAAAGAAAATACCGGGGGAGTCACGGTAATAACAAGAGAAAAACTTCCTTTTCATACGATTCCTGGATTTTTTTTTTGATTTTTTTTTTTTTTTTTCTTTCACCCACTTCTAATTTAAACTTTGCCGAAATATTTATATATACTGCAACATTAAGTTACTTAGACAAAAAAAAAGACAATATGGAGACAGAAATCAACACGGTATGGTAATTGTTACTAATGACAGCTGAAACTGGCAGTCACCATGCAGTGTTGATGCTTGTGTTTACACTGTTTATATCTACATAATATTTAACATTTTTGTTGTCAGATCTCGAAAAAAAATGTATTAATTCAGGTTATATATTACAGCTTTATTAAAATTTGAATTTCATAGCTTTCTAAAACCAAAAAGAAAATACCGGGGGAGTCACGGTAATAACAAGAGAAAAACTTCCTTTTCATACGATTCCTGGATTTTTTTTTTGATTTTTTTTTGTTTTTTCTTTCACCCACTTCTAATTTAAACTTTGCCGAAATATTTATATATACTGCAACATTAAGTTACTTAGATAAAAAAAGACAATATGGAGACAGAAATCAACACGGTATGGTAATTGTTACTAATGACAGCTGAAACTGGCAGTCACCATGCAGTGTTGATGCTTGTGTTTACACTGTTTATATCTACAAACGCTTTATCTCTAATACTGAACAGTCTTCCTCGATAAAGATAACAAATTGCAAACATTATAGCACCTCAAAAGCTCCAATCTCCCAATCAGAGACCTTCCTTCTTTGCGTGGTTTATCGTAGGAAACAAATGAAATATATAACTACGAAATATCTATGTTTACAGTCTTGTTAGCGAAAAGTTTCTTATTATCCCGATTTAGGGATGTCATGTCAGAGACACCAATTATGCAATTGTTACAAAATTTACTGAGACCCACAAAGAATAGGAAATAGTGGATACTCATGATCACCAAATAGGCATGGCATAAAGAAGAAGAAGAAGAAAAATGAGCTTGAGTAAATTGATGGGGGGGGGGACAAGGTTTAGGAGAAATAACAAAAAGACAACATTTATTAATAGATACGAAGAACAGGAAATTGTGGAGAGCCATGATAATCACCTACGTTCTCAAGGGACACGGCCCATAGAAGAACGAGTTTTAGTAAATGAACACGTTTTAGTAAATGAACACGTTTTAGGAGAAATAACAAAGACAGCATTTATTAAGATATTAAGAGCTACGAAGGACAGGAAATTGTGGAGAGCCATGATCGCCTACATCCCCCAGTGCCACGGCCCATAGAAGAAGAAGAAGAAGAAGAAGAAGAAGAAGCTTGAGTAAATAAATGTCGGGACAAGAGAAAAAAGACAACATTTATAAGTGGCTACTAAAGACAGGAAATTGTGGAGAACCATTATCGCCTACATCCTTCAGGGACACGGCTCATAGAAGAAGAACGGGCTTGAATAAATGAATGGTGAAACAAGGTTTAGGAGAAATAACAAAAAGACAAAATTTATTAATAGCTATGAAAGACAGGAAATTGTGGAGAGCCATAATCCCCAACGTCGTGAAGAGGTATAGCACAAAGAAGAAGAAGAAGAAGAAGAAGAAGAAGAAGAAGAAATTGTTTTTACAAGTAACAATCGATTTTTTGTTCTGAAAGTCGCTTTCTTTACTTTTTGAATTTTCGCACCTGAGGGCGTTTCATCACGTTTTCTTTCCTCAGATCAAAAGTTTAAAAAAACTTTCAACAGGTGTGATGAAACTGTCCAGCATTCACTGACATATACAGTACTAAATAATATTTAATAATCTTTCCTTTACGAAGTTCCAGAAACTCGCATATTTTTAGTCCACATCTACGGAAATCAAAGCCGAAGTTTCAGATTAAAATTTACTTGTGGCATCTCACAACAATGCATTTTAATAACATCTTGTGTATAAGATCCTTTTTGCCCCCAAGCTTAATCTATCTATCTATCTATCTATCTATCTATCTATCTCTATCTCTCTCTCTATATATATATATCTATCTCTATCTATCTCTATCTCTCTCTGTCTCTCTCTATATATCTCTCTGTCGCTCACCCTCTCTCTCTCTCTCTATCTATCTATCTTTCTTTCTATCTCTCTCTCTATCTATCTATCTATCTATCTATCTATCTATCTATCTATCTTTCTCTCTCTCTCTCTCTATGTGGATGTGGAGAGCTTCTCAACGTTCTATTGTTAATGCCATGGAATGTGCTCGAACGAACTACATTCCTTGGTTCTGCTAGGTCTAATCCTCACGGCTAGGATCCACCATGCCACTTACATCGTAGCAAATCATCCACATTCCATCGGCGCGAAATTCTACTCAACAGCTTCTTTCCGCGAACCACTGGCCTGTGGAAAAGACTCCCAAGAAGATATTTCTACGATCACTACAATATTAACCTGTTCAAATCTAAAGTTAACCGTTATCTTCCCTTCGTATCCATATAAACTACCCCTTAACGTAGCCCTCTATCTTGAGTGATCCCTTAGCATCGTACCATACTGCAAAAAATAAGTAAATAAATTCAACCACAACAATGTCACAATTATCAAAAGAGAAAATAACTTACTTAGACGAAAGAGAAAGATCCTTGAGAGTGCTGCTATAGAATATTACCAAAATCTACGTCCTGGGTTTTTCCAACTATCTTCTTTCCTGCAAAGTGGGACACTAGGATCTCGGGAGGTTGATCAAAAAAAGAAAGAAGAGGAAAGAATCTACTCACTGGATGGTAATTGCTGAAATTCGCAGGAGGATTGAGAAGAATATTAAAAACGAAATGCGTTGAAAAATCATGTTTTAAAATAATTTGAAGGAGGATCGAACTCAAATTTAACTGGATAGAATTCAGTATGATTGATCAAAACCAAGACTCACCATCCTTCCCCCACTTCACACTGATGAGAAAAGACCACTAAGATATCCGCAGAGATATCAGATAAAATAAAAAAATGTTGTCAATAAAGCAATTCACCGAAATAATTTTGAAGACCACTTTGAACTCAAAAGCCAGGAAAAGAAATATTTGATTTGAATCAGACACCAGAAGAGAAGTGTTCCGACAGAGATAGAGGCCAACTTTATGCATTCGTCATTATAATTGCTGTGACATTCGTCCAGAATTTTTTTTTTATATCCAGACCTTATGTTATGGAGTGATTTCACAGTGGAGGCTTGTATTTGTACTAAGTCGGTCCTAAAATAGGTTCGACGTACAAAACGTTAGGAACTTGATATAATAGGCATGACGCAGAGAAATCTAGTTGTGGTCGCTGATACTTTAGTATCCGACTAACTGTCGTCCGACATCGACTGACTGACCGACCCACTGAGCGACGGTATTTAGTCACCCCCCACCCACGTGGGCATCATGTGGCACAAGGCCGGTTTAACGTGGGATCTCTGAGCCCGTGGACTCGGCCAAAAATATGCCCATTGAACCCGTATAAACGGGTTCAGGGTCGGTTTACCCCACCCCCCGAAAGAGAATCCGCCCTTCGGTGTAGCCTCGTTCGGGTTCCTCCCCGCCCGAAGGCAGAGAGTTCAGCTGGTCAGACCCACTGAGCGACTATATTTAGTCACCACCCCCTACGAGGACATCATGTGGCACAAGGCCGGTTTAACGTGGGATCTCTGACCCCGATGGCTCGGCTAAAAATATGCCCATTGAACCCGTATAAACGGGTTCAGGGTTGGTTTACCTCCCCAAAAGAGAATCCGCCTTTCGGCGTAGCCTCTTTCGGGTTCCTCCCCGCCCGAAGGCAGAGAGTTCAACCGGTCAGCCGGTCGTCCGACTTCAGACTGAACTCAGACAGACTCACTGAGCTACTCACTCGTTACTCTTACTACTCCTACTTATTATAGGTGGGAGAGTCTATTAACTATAGAATAGGTGTGTTCCACTATAACACCTTAATTCGGATTCCTTTGGATACAAGTGATAAAGGAAAATTTAATTAATATTTTGGAGTGACCATGGACAAAAATGCAATGTGGTCCGCTGATCGTAAAAGTGCATAAACAGGGGAAAGATAAACTTTTGTTTTTATCACTAGAGCAAATATGAATAATTTTCTTTCCTTTTCATTCCCAATTCTTGAGTGGTCTGGTTGATCAAGAAATCATTGCATGAGACAAGCAGATAAAGAAAGATTAATGACTGAAAATCCCTTTTGTTTTCGCTACGCCATATAGAAGTTGGATTAGTCTAACGAGATTTTTACTTTTGTTTCGAAATTTGTTGCGAAATAAATTCCTTATATTTGCTTTGATAAAGTCCATCGTGGGACGAAACGTGTCGGCTAAAAGGTTTTTCTTTCGCCTTTATTCATATTGTCCTTTTAAAGATTTTAGTGATATCTGAAATTTTACACACACACACACACACACACACACACACATATATATATATATATATATATATATATATATATATATATATATATATATATATCTCTAGCTCTCTGTCTCTCTCTGGCCATCTCTTTCTCTCAGTCTTTACCAACTTTTTTCTTTTCTCTTAATCTATATCTTTCTATTCATCGTTTTCAGTCTTTATTCTGTCTATTCGGCTTTTTCAGTCTTTACCCTCTCTCTCAAAGAGAATAGAAAGATTGAGAGAGAAGAATAGAAAGACTGGGAGTAAAGGGGCAATGACCGAGAGAGGCGAATATAAAGAATAAGAATTAAGACAATTAAGCGAGAGAATAGATATTAGTAGAGAAGAAAGAAGGTGGAAAAGATTGAGAGAGGTAGAGAGAGAATAAAGACTGAAAGAGACAAATAGAGAAAATAAGGATTTAGAGAGACGAATATAAAGTATATAAGATTAAGAGAGATTAAAAAGAGAACATAGGTTGAAAAAAAAAGAACAGAGAAAGGATAAATTATTGAGAGAAGAATAGAAAGAGGTAAAGACTGAGAGAGACGAATAGAGAGAAAAAGGATTTACAGAGACGAAGAGTGAGAGGATAAAGTTTAAGAGAAAAAAAGGGTAAAAGGTTGAGAAAGCGCGCGCGCGAGAGAGAGAGAGGGGGGCGGGTAAAGACTGAGAGTGACGAATAGAGAGAATACGGGTATTTTTCAGCGCGCTTACGTCGCTACAGAATATGACATAAATAAGGTCGAGGTTTAAACTGGGTTTAACGTCAATACCGTGGAAAATTGCCCAACCCCACTCGGCACTTCCCAGTTTAGGGGACGCTTCAGGCGCCGGGCAATAAACACAGCCCCCTCTCAAAGATGAGGTACTACATGGAGAGAAGCCCCCCCCCCCGCTGGGGCTTGGGATTAATATATTTTTAACTCCCTTGCATAGGCTTTCACCTACATAAGGTAAGTATAGTTTGAAGAGAATAAGGATTGAGAGAGGTGGATATAAAACAAGTGACGGAGAAGAGGGAAAGAGAAATTGAATCATCTCTCAATGCAGAGAGAGAGAGAGAGAGAGAGAGAGAGAGTGAGTGTGTGTGTGTGTGTGTGTGTGTGTGTGTGTGTGTGTGTGTGTCTGTTTCTCACTCGAACAGATTACTGAAAACCTGTTCCATATTTTCTGACTAGAATCAGTGGTCTTTGTTCGAGCCAAGCCCATTGCCAACTGGCCTAGAGAGCTTGCCCAGCAATCACCGAAAATAATTTGCTTTCTACCTGTGAAAATGAACGTGAACTACTTTCAGCGTGCAAATTCTTGGTCGCGCTCCACTGACTTAAAGACTGCTTGTTCCTTTTTTTTTTTAATAATCATAGCTGGCGACATGGGTGGTTCGAATGCCAATGTTTCTTAACTTTTATAAGCAATGGCAATATCACGTTACACTTAGCAAAATTTTCAGAGTATTATAGTTTTTAAAAACTGGTAAATTATTGAATAAACTGCTCAACACTGCATATCGGAAACTTCGAATTTATTAATTCATAACTAGGTATAACTTTTTCAATATAAATTTTGAATTAAACAAAGAATGTTGAATACAATTATATAAGTTATTGACATTTGGAAAAACGTTAATGAAATGTTTCGAAAATAATATCCGATAATGCATTTTCGCCTCTAATGGCTTCACCAGATGGATAACGGAAAGATGTTTGTGTATGCATTTGTGTGTGTTTAACATAATTAAATCTTCAATTATTTTCCCAAGCTACCCGAGACTACAAAGAGAAAGAAAATGAGTGAAATCGTTAAACATTTTTATATTCTCCGCCTCTAGTGTCAGAGTTTTGAAATGGAAAATCCTTCAGAACGGATAGAAAATAAATTGTTTTTATCCATGCGTTCTCCATGTCGACAGTATGTCGATTTTCCAAGCGTAGCTTAGATGTGGCTCAATGCCGAAGGTACCCAATGTCGACAGTATGTAATAAATTTTGGTATGCAATCTCGACACACATAACACATCTTTTTGTCATACATCTGATGAAGCCAGGGCCCCTCCAGGCGGTGTAATGGTTAGCAAGCTTGTCTCGCTAGCACAATTACGAATGAGTAGTGAGTTCGGTCCTCACTTGGTACCCCAAACTTTCGGCTTTGTGCCACATCAAAGCTACGCTTGGAAAATGGCTACATCTGATGAAGCCATCAGAGGCGAAATGCATTATGGGATATTATTTTCGAAATATACTTTCATGAACGTTTTTCCAAATGTCAATATAACTTTTAACTCTGTCGGAATTTATTACATACAATTATACAGAAAAAAAGGGTTAATATTCATTTATTCAAATAAAAGAAAATTTTGAAAAGTTTAATTAAAAGATAAAAATACTTTTAAAGAAATGAATATTAAACCAAAGTACTTAAAATAATATAATCGAAGAATAGTGAAAAAAAAATTTTTTTTTTAAAGTTTAATACTTATTCATTTATTCAAATACTAACGCTGTACCATTGCAACTTACTTATACACACACACACACACACACACACACATACATACACACATATATATATATACCGGCACAGTATTTCGCGGCACACGTAAAAGGATCGCGCGGCACACTAGTGTGCTGCGAGGTGACGGTTGAGAATCACTACCCTAGCAGAATGTCAAGATTCTGAATTTGGATTTTAGAAGAAGACCGGCTATGTACGTTCGATGATTAGTCACAATACAATCTTATTTATTTTGTCCTTTTGTAGCACTAGCTTAAACTTAGTACACAGGCGAGTTTGTGGGAGGAAAAACGCGTGATAAATCGACAATGGACGACAATGGACAGAGAAAAGGTACGTAGAGAAAAAGTGGTTAGCGACCCTTGCGTATATATTTAGAAAGAATAAGTAGAAAAATAACCGTATTGTCATAGATTGTAATAATGCTAAACACTACGTTTTTTTTTTATTTTCTTTCGTTGGCCATTTTTTTTAATCTCAAACTTGTTTAGTTTAATGATTTCTTTATATTCAGACATATCTCTTTGCAAAGAAGCAGAGATGTGTCTGAATGTCTTTCTTTCTGACCCCTCTCTCTTTCTCTTTCATCATTTTTTATCACACTTATTTTATTTTCAACAGTTAGTTTTTATTTTGCTTTACATCATACCACCCGCCATTTTTTCTCTTCTTTTTAAAATAAAAAAAAAAACATTCCACTGATATCTGATTATTCTTTTTTCCTCTCCTTGACAAACAAAACAACCAATTTGTCTTCATGTACAGACGACTGTTTTATAACATTCCTGTCTTATTCATTATGTGTTGTATCCTTTCAGGACGTTGGCGATCATGACTCTCCACAATTTCCAGTCCTTTGTAGCCCTTAATAAATGTTGTCTTTTTGTTATTTCTCCTAAACCTTGTTCCACCATCTATTTACTCCAGCTCATTCTTCTTCTATTGACTGTATCCCTAGAAGGACGTTGGCGATCATGACTCTCCACAATTTCCAGTCCTTTGTAGCTATTAATAAATGTCTTTTTGTTTATTTCTCCTAAACCTTGTTCCACCGTCCATTTACTCCAGCTCGTTCTTCTTCTATTGACTTTATCCCTAGGAGGACGTTGGCGATCATTACTCTCCACAATTCTCAGTCCTTCGTAGCTCTTAATAAATGTTGTCTTTTTGTTATTTCTCCTAAACCTTGTTCCGCCATCCATTTAATCAAGTAAGTCATGCGTTGATTTCCTCTGCCCCTTTGCCTTCATTCCGTCCTGTGAGTATCAGATTTTCCAAGCTCTCTTTCCTCATTATGTGCCCTAGAAATTTCCTTTTTGTTTGTATTTTCTCTAAAACTTGGTCGTTGCTTGCATGTTCAGCCCATGGTATTTTCAGCGCCCTTCTGTAGAACCATATTTCTGTTGCTTCAAGTCTCTTCATGTTTGAGTAAGCTATCCAGCATTTACTGCCATACAGGTGGACAGATATCACGTAACAGTTCAGTACTCTTTTCTTTGTATCTAACGAATCTTTTCTGTCTCTTAATACTCTGCTTAGCTTTTGAAATGCACCTTTGTCTATCCCAGGTCGCCTTTGGATATCAATGTGGCACTTTCCGTCCTCGATGCCCCAATTTATGCTGAATATTTAATTCTATAAGTAGAGCGTTGACCGTCATATGACAGTGATTTCATTTTTTTTCTAATGATAGTTCACCCAGTACAAAGCCCCAAAGCCACTGTAGGTAGAGAGTTACTGAGTGAGATTGTAACAGGAGAAAGTAAGAAAGTACAAGGTAACCAAAAAAGTTCTGTCCGTTTTTTGATTAGTCATTGAATGAAGTTGAAATATATACGAAATGCGTGTAACAATTGTTTTCAAATTCGGACAGCCGGAAGTAGGAACATCAAACTTTATAAAAAAATACGCGCACCGTGCCCGGCCATCAGTGATAAGCCGGACAGCTGTGAGAAAAATGGAAGTGTCTAGAGATCTCGTTCGGGGCTGTTTGCCTTACGACTTCAAAGTGGGCTTATCAGCAGCTGCATCAAGTCGCCGCATATGTCAAGCGTTTGGGGATAGTGCTGTGGAACGTACTGCAAGGCGTTGGTTTCGAAAATTCAAGTCGGGAGATTTGTCTCTCCATGATGAGCCTCGCAGTGGACGACCACAGGTCTTGAATGACGGAGTCCTGAAGGCGGCCATTGAAGAGGACAGTAGTCTAACGTGTGGTGAACTTGCAAGACAGTTCAATGTTTCCGATGAAACAGTTAGACTTCACCTGCACCACCTAGGTAAGACGTACAAACTGAGCAAGTGGGTTCCGAAAATGCTGTTGGAAGTCCACAAGGAACAACAAGTGGCAGCCTGCATATCGTTGTTTTCTCACTTATTCAATCGTGTGCTTACCAGTGAGGAAAAGTGGGTTCTGTACGAAACTCTAAAGCGTTCCAGACATTGGTTGTCTCCTCAGGATGCTGTCCCTCACACCGCAAGACCACCTATGCACCCACGCAAGATTATACATTGTGTCTGGTGGACAGGTCGTCAAGTGGTTCATTATGAACATCTACCAACGGGCCAAACAGACACTGGAGACCTATACTCATAGCAATTGAAACGTGTGCAGCAGGCATTGCGCCAGAAGGAGCCAGCAATGGTTAATCGCAAAGGTGTGCTTTTCCTCCATGACAACGCCAGGCCGCATGTCGCGCGAGTGGTTAGGGATACCATACAGCAACTTGGGTGGGACACTTTGTGCCATCCACCTTATTCACCTGACCTTGCGCCATCCGATTACCACCTCTTCCACTCCCTGAATAATCATCTTGGTGGGAAATCCTTCACCAATGAAGCAGACTTGCGCAAAGCCCTCACGGACTTCTTTGCGTCAAACCCCCCAAGTTCTACCGCATGGGCATTGAACAGCTGAAGACACGTTGGTAGAAGGTGCTGGATGCCGATGGCGATTACTTCGAAGACTAAATATAAGTTACACATATTGTGAAGCGTTTTCTTTTTTTCCTTTAAAAACGGACAGAACATTTTGGTTACCTTGTATTATGTAGTCGAGTAGATTAGATACCGATTGACCTTGAACTTAAAAAAATCAAGATTTTAGTTGTCAGGGAAGCATTCTCTCGGGAGTTTGTTTTACAAAATAACAGTTTTGAGGAAGAATTTGTTTGAGTAAAACTTACTTTTTATTAAAGTAAAACTTACTTT